CATTTTAGCCGAAAACCTACAGTTTGTAAAAAACTTGATAAAAGATTAGTTACCGTTTTTGCAGGCTTTGTTCAACCCATAGAAATCTACAGGGTGGTCGAGTGTACCAATTTAATCGAAATTAAACGACCTCATGCATTTATTTTTATGATATTTAGTATGTTATAAAAATATCCCTAGACTTTTCCGATGTATATATATATATTTAACGTTCGAACAATTCCTAACCGAGATTCTCCTGATTCTCTGATCTTACTATATGGAGAATACCAAACAACTTTACAGGAACTAGAAAAAATACAGAACAAATTTCTAAGGTACCTATATTATAAGAAATATCGTAGTAAACAACAGCATTAGAACATCACAATTGAGAACTCAATTTGATATATCCTCCTTAGACTCTAATTTTTTATACATATATAAAGTTATTAATAACAATATAAACTCCGCAGAATTATTGTCACTATTACCAATTAATGTACCTCCCAGACCTACGCGTACTATCCTCAAGTTCAAAATGGTCAGTCTGACTGAAGAAGCGTGTTAAATGAAAGTTCCACGACTTGACTCAGTTCACGTATTCAGGTTGAAATAAGATACTAAGCCCGAAGAACTGAAGACATTTTTGAGAAAGTCTCTGCCTGGAGCTCATACTTTGAAAACATCTGATTTTTATGCATCAGTAGAGGTGACAATGAAGAGAGAACAGTTGATGGTGTCTTGAAGGCAAGGGGTATGGCCAAACGGAGCTTTGTTATTTGCCAAGGATTAAGAAATATTATGCCTATCTGTAAATGAAGATAACTTGAATTCACAGTAAATGAAAATTATACCTGAACCCATCATTGAATTTCGTTAGAATTACCTCCATCATTCATCCAAAGAATCATATATAAAGCTCGTTCCTTGATTATGGCATTATGTTGATGTTATCTTCTGAGTGAAGTCGATCTGAAGAAGAGTTGTGATTTGTGTGAAAGTTGAAGTATTTTATCTGATCAGTAATCAAAGTAAGTACGTTTTTTCTTCATTTTGTGTTTTCTCAACAGAAAAAATAGGTGTTCATTTTGAAAGAGTCGCAGTAGTTTCTGGGTTCACCAAATATGACACACATTTTTCGTGAAATTTGTGTAACTGGTGTGATACTTCGGGCGAACATAATGATATGCCTTTGACTGGAATTATATATTTTGAAGAAGTGCAAACATTTCGAAATGATTTCATGATTTCAAAATGTCACATTTTTCCTCAATTCATTTGTTACATCAATTTGTGGTGAGTAATTTGTTAAAGATGGTATGAATATGCCTTCCCAAATATTATCTGTAGGAATGCGATGCAAATGTCTCATTCTTTTTCATGATTTTACTATGAATCGAGGTTTTCACACAAGAGCACAGAAAATTGAGTAATTGCATTAATATATGTCGATTTCTCTTTCTTTTTTGTGAGTTTCTGATTATTCTTTTCACGAAAGGGGAATCTGAAAGCCATTAAAGACTATTTTCTGCTAATATATTATGGTATTTTTCGAATTCGACAAAAAACAAAGCCCATCTACTGGAAGTAGACGACGTTCCAGTGCCAATCATTTATTCAAATTGAAATTATTGTTGTTTGAAAAACATGCATGTTATATGTTGTTTATTGACATCAACGATTTAATTTTCTATTCCAACGTTTAATTTCCGAATTTCAGATGTTTGATTTGGTGTTGAATATTTCTTGTATAAAATATGTTTCATTCATTTCAGTTCGTCCTTTGTGAACTGCGTGAGTCTGTCAAACTATTTGTACGAAACCGAAAACATGGAATCCTTGAACAACCTGGTGATTGAGAATTCTGACAAGAAAAGCTCATCACATTCCAGAACCAAACCGATATTCAGTTCCAGCTTCTCATGTTCGTTTGAAGAAGATAACATAGACAGACTAATATGCGACCTAGAGTTCTCTGAAACAGGGAGAACTAAGTCACCAGAAGGCTTCGAAAATCTGATTTCGAAACCTTTGATCAGAAATGCAGAAGAAGGACAGATGGCATCTCCTAATGAAGCACGTATCACTCCATTATTTCATAGAGCCCTTTCTGTACAAGCTACTCCAACCAACAGCAGGGTATGCACACGGTTGTTCGAAGGTGATGCGAAGACAAGATCATCGAAGAAACATACATTTACCACAGGCGAACCTGAAAGGGACATCAAACGTTCAAAACTCGTACACTATGAAGTGAGTGAAGAAACTTTTATTTCTCGTCCGGTATCTCATCTACAACAAGATTCCACTCAAAATGAGAAGATCATGATGTGTGCCGTACAAATATCATCTTCAGAACAAGATATGGTTGGTGACTTCAGTAGAAATTGCAGTTTGCCGTTGATTCAAGGTCGACATCGTGATCTCAAAGCGATCTCTCCGCAAACCATGGCCCAGCTCATAAAGGGATCATTTAGAGATGTTATTGGTTCCTTCAAAATTATTGACTGCCGGTACCCGTATGAGTTCGAAAGTGGACACATCACTGGAGCTGTGAATCTGTATACCAGAGAGCAGTGCATGCAGCTGCTAAATAACAGTCAGATCACTATTGCACACTCTGGTAAAAGGGACATTCTGCTCTTCCACTGTGAATTTTCCAGTGAACGAGGACCTAATCTGTAAGTATATAAATTGTTTCGAATAACGATCTATTAGCTCCGAACGCTTATGAAAATTCCACGTTGTGACATTTGTATATGTCGTGCTTGATTTTTCATATGTTGCTCAATTCAACTGTGAGATTCTGGAATCATACAATTTTTCTTATTTTTCAGGTACCGTTATCTACGCAAAGAAGACCGGAATAGGAACAAAGACAATTATCCATCGCTGAATTTCCCCGAGGTCTACCTGCTTGAAGGAGGTTACAAAAGTTTCTTCGAGCAATACTCAGAAATGTGTACACCGATGGCATACAAGCAGATGCTCCATCCAAACAACACGGATGATCTGAGACATTTCAAACAAAAGTCGAAGACATGGAACTGTGATTCACGTGGAAGTCGCTCAAGCAGAAGGCCCTTGAAAAAATCGATATGGTAGAATTATTCTTAACAACTTCATTCAACGTTATTCCATTTTACGCTTAATAATATCAGAAACTCATCTGGACCTAGAGATATGATATATTCCGTCTCAGAGATCATAATTTCAGTAATCACTACGGAGAATATTTACGGTTCGTCTGTAGATTATTGCTCAGCAAACAATCTATATATTTATAGAGATACCGATGTTTTGGTATAAATATTCTGAAAGAACGATAATCGCAATATACTTTTGAAGAATTTGACGTATGATTTTTTTATTAACTGAAGGTGTGTTTATTCTGGAAGGCATGTAACATATACCTAGGTGGGTTTCATCTGGGTGGGATTTCGTTTTGAAATCACTGGACTCATTGTTTTCTAAAACTAGGACCCATCAATACATACTGGAAGTATACAAAATACACATTTCTTCTGTTCGAATGACTTTCAGTTGCTCAATCGGAAATGGTAATTAATTCCAACATCTACTATTCAGAGTGGTGGTGTGAATGAGCTGTTCCCATTCAAATTTATGCTAATCATTCCTAATTTCATTGAAGACCTTTGTGTAGGCAAATTTTTCATCCGACACTCAAACAATTCATATGTAGGAATACAAGCATTTTGTATCAAACACACCCAAAGATGCTATCGTATAATGGAACACAAGATCATGTTTTGCAAAAAGTCGAATTTGGAGCTCATTAAAATTTTAAATAAATAGTCAGTATCATGAACTATTTGCAGGAATCGGTGATTTCGATCACATTGTCCAGAAGTTGATGCATACTAAAATTTTATGGTCAAGACTCATTCAGTGAGCGAAAAAACTATTCGAATATCATGAAATTTCGTTAATTGACAACTATTTTGTCATACAGTGGAATTATGGAATATTGAAAATATCATGGTAGGAATACTCGTAGTTTATTAAAAGCGGTATTTAAAAATTATTATCCTCACACCGGTTTGCTTGAAACATGATATAATTTTTTCAAGTAACATAGCGCTTATTTAGACCAATTCAAGTTGAACAACTGAAAATACAACTTTTTCATCGATTGTGTGTGCTTTATATTAAGCAATCACTATCAGCTGGTCTCCAAACCAGGTATGGATGATATGCAAAGTGGTTTTAATTTTTTCTCGAAAACGAAGCTAGATATGAAGAAAACAGGCGGAAAAAAGGTGAGTTTTCGGTTGATCAATCTGAAAAACTAAAACAACCAGTCCGTACTTTTTCTCCCTTATATTGTTGGCTGTGGTGCCTACTGAGACTCCACCGGACCTACTAATTTCAATCTAGTTAGGACTCAGTGAGTACCCCATTATTTTAAATAACTGTAGCGAATTTTGACCAAATCGGTGTAAGGATATTGGTGATATTTCATCATTATTTATTCAAACTTCAACGCCCTGTATCTCAGAAATGAAGCAACTCCGGACATATGCATATTTCTCATGTAATCGAGTGAATGGAATGATTTTAGTTCCTCCATATCTCTTTTCCAGAAAGTTAGTGGTGTTGTCAACATGGTTAAGACCATGAAGTTCTAGTTAGTTTTCATAAAAACGCATATTTTCATGATAACGTATATATCTTTACAAATTACTAACGTACAGAAATTATAATAAGTTCAGTTATGATTTGTTCATCTGAAATCTCAATTTCCCACATTCAATAAGTACCTGAATGATAATAACGGTAATAACGCTTGAGAAAGCTATTGTATAGCAAAATACGTGTCGCGGTGTTTGTACAACCCTTTGTAGTGAAAATCATACAATTAACTGTATTAATGAGTTTCATTATGTATTTTCATCAAGTATCGGCCAGTTCTATTCAAGCATGGAGATGTCCCAAAGTGGAAGTAGTTAATCATCTAGGATGTCTAAAATTGGACTTATACTTGTGAATTCCTACAGAATTCTCGTTTTCCGAAAGAGGCTGAGTTATTTGCATTGCTGATTTTTTTCAACATACTTTCCAAAAATTCAGTGATATTTGGCGGTCCTACAGGCTGCTGGACCATTGGTTGCAGTACCTTCATTATTAAAATGTTCTTTCCTGATATGAGAAACTGATTCGAAATATTTGAAATAAATTCGCCATATAACTGTCACGGGTAGGTTATTGAGCAATAACCGATTTTACTTTGAAGAAAACCTAAACTAAATCAACTATCAAGACAAGAAGTAATTAATGATTCAAAGACAAAACAAGAAATTTTATGACACTACCAAGATTTCTTGTCAAGAAACCAATAAATCTTGAAATATCTTGTCTAACGATGAAAACTCTAAAACAAATTTATGAATGAAAAAATTATATATTTCAACATAACACAATATTTTTTAATTTATTGAAAATTTTTATAGGTGAAACATTTTACAGAAATGTAAATTGAAAATAATAAATGATATTTACCTAATCCTAGATTTTATTTTAAATAACAAATTCAGCACTATTTTATTAAATCTCAACTAATATTTTGTTTACTCTGATTTCGATTAATCCAATCTAAAATACTATTACTTTCACTTGACGCAGAACATTGAAACTTGCTGCGATCAGGCATCCTTTGAGAAAACTCTTTGTCAAATAACAGCCCATGCTTTGCTTTAAAGTGTCCCAGAAGTTTTCATTTTCAGGAAAACACTTATTATGTTTTTGAAAACATGGTATATATTTGGCTTATTATTTCATATTTACTTAAATCTTAACGCTTACGTTTCTGTCCATTGCTTTTTGTAAATATTCTTTGCCAGAATCAGAGCCAAATGACTCAGGAGACATATCTATTATTTACTGTCGCTCAAACTACAAAATAAGATATAATTTTAATATAATTTACATTTTATCACCAATATTCACAAATTCGCATCAAAAATATAACGAAACCGGTACAGACTTTCACTTCGTAATATTAACCTTACTTAACTGAACGGGATAAAGCATGCAACTTCACATCAATTTTGAGTTCGGGAATCACCGGACCGGGTAATCACGAAATTTCAAGATCTTGAAATTTCTTGAGTCAAGGCAAGATTTAAGATGTCAAGAAAACGTAAAGACAATATTTTTTAAAGTTTCTTGATTTTTTCTCAAGACAAGAAGTTGTTATCAAAATAATTCTTTTGCCGACCCCTATTCCCATCGTTACTGCTTGAGATATTGATGTCACAATTTTTTTGAAAATTACCCTCTCTCATGGCATGTTGGTTTTGTTGGGTCAAGTATTTAACAAACCATAATTTGAGAATAGAAAATAGAATGAAGTTAATGAAATTTCGATTGACTATGTTTGTGAAGAAGACAATGAGTCTTATGCAGTGGCTAATTTAGGTTAAATGAAGAGTTGATACATCAAGAAATCAACATATCGATTCATTCCAAATGTATCGATTTCAAATATCCAGCCCAATTCAACCCCAAATGAAATCACCAGTGACATTTCTGTTTTCATCGCTCCGCTGTGAAATTCCTAATTAATACCGTGTACGCTGATAACGCACACACGGAATAACACAGGTAGTTGACATGTCGGGATATTTCCTGGCGGACTTCGAAATTAGAATTACCATATCAAAGTGACTGGAATGTGTTTGGAACAGGATTGTTTATTTGAGGATACCGAAACAACTTTATTAGAAACCGCACAGAGAGGTAATTTTCGAGCGATCTCACGAAGATCGTTTGGTAGGAGCATTTCCAATCAGTTTCTTTGAACGTGCGATGAAGAGAATATCCGAAGTTTCTTTCAATTTGTTCAACCGAATTGGGTTCAGAGATTCTGGCTGTATTTTTCGTGCCTGATATAAGTACTTATTGTTTGGAGTTGACGGTGAAGATATTGTTTAACTTGAATCGACTTGTTAAGAATTCTGAAAATTCACTGAATGGCCAAATAGAATTGAATTCTTCTCTACTACTGAATCTGTTTTGAACTATGGAAGTTGGTTACTAATTCAATAGATGTCCATATAATGAGTTGATTCAGTTGGGTTGACACGCTCGAGGTAACTATTGTATAGTGAAGCACTTGTTGTTTTGTAAACTGTTCAATGAGAATCTCATAATGAAATGTTATGTGTAGGCTCTCACGGCCGATGTCTTACAAATGTTTTTGACTCCATCAACCATGGTTTGCGGGTATTTATACCTGTTGTTTCGTCTGCTACTGCGGCAAATTATATCAAAAGCGTTGCGATCAAAAGCTCTACCTTGGTGCGATGTGCATACTGAAAATGGTCCTGGTTTGCATGGTTCAAGTAAACGATATAATGCAACATACCTTCCAACAGCTCCTATTTAATGATATAGTTAGCTAACTGATTTCGTTATTCAATAATCATTTCTTTTTTTCTCGAAAACGAAGCTAAAATCCTATACCTCAGTGTATAGAGATTTTTCTCAACCTCTCAGGTGGATTCAGGCAAAAACACAACAATTACTTACAAAATTTTGATTTTTCTAGTAGATTTCACCTGTGGAAAAATTTGGAAAAAGACACAATTGTTCTTAGGAAATATAGAACAGTTTCAATTGTAAAAGTAAGTCGAGCAGGGTCAACAAACTTCTGAACACGTAACAGCACACCTAGATAATGACAAATGAGATTTTGTCGAAACGTCGGTGAAATTAGAGATAATATCACATACATGGATCAAATACCCGGAAAAACCAGTTCGGCATAGTCCTATCCGTGAAAACTTCAGATTTATTATTCGATACCTTAACGGGGAGATTAGGTCAACTAAGAAGAAGAAGAACTTTTAAGTAGTAGGTAGTAGAGAGTTTATGGACACTCTATCTCTGAACACGTAACGAATACCATTTTACCAGTATAATAAGAAGTGAGTCGAGCAG